GTTCATAAGTATTGAATCTGTAAAAAATAACAATGACTTATTTTGCAACAAATATATATATATATATATATATATATATATATATATATATATATATATATATATATATATATATTAAAGACTAAACGTGCAAAAAAATATTAATGATTACATGTGTACAAAGTGATAAATATATTACCGTATTAAATCATTTTTTCTAACTTACCTGGAGTAGTAGGTCATAAGGACTCAATTAGTAAGTCATAGGGACTTAATGTGTACGGTTAACCTAGTTGAAGGGGCAAATGTTGATGAAAAAAAACTCAATGACCAAATGTGTACAAATCAAAAAGTATATTACCATTTAAGTCATTATCCTTAAAAAAAATATAATAAAGAACCTTTGGTTTACCAATTTCGTTAAAATAGAAGAATTTTGCTACATATGTGACTATTATATCATAACTATGAAACAGTGATCATTTAATGATAAGATACTTTATATTTAGTTATTGTTGTGATTATCCCACTATATTTTGATATAAAGTACCAAGATAAATTAATAAAAATACCTTTCGATCTAAAACCAAATCCCTAATCAAAAGACACTTTTGCCCTCTCCTCTACCCTTCACCAAACTGTGTGTTTTTAGGGATTGGGTAGGGGTAATGTGTCAACCAATGTCCAAGTGTCGGAAGGAGAGACCATGGTCCACTCTCATATTAAAAATGGTAAAAAAAAGCATAGAGAAAAGGAAAAGGCAGAGTTCTAATTCTCACCATTCATTTAAAGTAATTTCGCATACTCATTTCCCACTTTGATGGTACTAAGCCCATTGCCATAACAACAAACAAGATAGGATATGATGTAATAAAGTCATGACCAAAAGATCTCTCTCCTAATTATTGCTACTTGTGTTTTGATTCGGTGTGGTGATGCTTTTATAACTTGTATTAGTAGTACTAAGGACTGTACATTAATGTTTAGGTAATTCTGTTATGGAGTCTCCTTTGAAAGGAATGTGTAGACTGTTATTAAAATGGAAATTTGTGAAGTCATAGTGGCGTGGCTCTAATAATATGCTGACACGCGGAATTTTAACAATAAATTTGATGTTAATAAGTAGTATAACAATAAATTTTGTATAATACTTACAATGTTAGAGTTTAGACTATTCATTGATGTAAAAACGCTTTTGTGTAGTTTTACATCATTTTTATATGCTTTTGTGCTGAAGTAGTTTTACACCATTTTTTATACAAAATATGATCTTTAGCATAAAAAATGTCGTTGAATTGGAAATATGCCTAAATGCATTATAAAAACTTTTTGTTTTAATGAATGTCTCTAGGTACCATTGGATATGTCAATAGTGTTACAATAATTTGTATGTATGAAGATAAAAATTATAAGTATTATGTATTTTAATATTTTTTTAATAGAAACTACAAAATAAGCGAGTCTAGTAGTTCAAATAATAGGTCACAAAGAATCCTCATGTAATTTGTAGTACAGTTTGAATGTTCTAGGTGGATTTAAAAGTATTTTTTATATATTTTTATAAGTAACTAATAAGTATGTTAGGTTGTTATTTCTTTCTCGTTGCACTTTGCAGGTGTTCAGACTCAAGAAATAGACGAAAAATCAAGTTTAGGAATAAGAAGTCCTTGCAACATCGTTCTATCGTAAACTCATTCGGCCAATAAGTTGGACAACTTTGGATTGAAGTCAGTGGGACAATAAAGATATCATGTTACATTAGTTAAATATAAATTGGACAACTCTGGAGTGAAGATAATGGTATCGCCACATTAGTTAAATATAAGTTGGACAACTCTGGATTGAAGTCACCGGCCATTAATGAGATCATGTTCAGGAAGAGAGAACAAAGTACACACCAACATCAGACAATGTCTTTGTAAGGTTGCAAATTAGTATTTTACAGTAACTATGAAAGTGTTATGTTCCTCTACTATTGCTCCATACGATGGTGATACCATAAAGGATTTAGAAGCTAAACATCCATACAAGTTATCCATATTTATGTTTAGCGTCATATTTTTTTAGTCTCCCCTTGTAGTGGAGATTGATAGTGTCATTGATTACATTGAATCGTTTCCTAAAAGAATTTCATATAGGAAAGACGACTTGAAAGCACATTATATTTTGGACGGCTATATGGAGAAGGATCTACTGTAGCCATAGCCATGCAAAATTTATTAGCAGGTAAGTCATGAAAGATAGATGGTAGTTATATTACTCTCAATGACATATTCGTTGTGAAAACTATTTGTAACTGTGTCTTCAAAAATGTTATGTTGCTTGCAAATTTTCAGTCTTCGAGTCCTCCAATAGAGTGACCCATGAATGGGCCAATGCAATCTCTACCATTGTCCATGTTTCAGCGAGTTGGTTGCCTTTTTTGTTTGGGATGGTTCGGCTATGGGTTGGGTTTTAAGAACGTACTCGACTTCCGATTCGGACAGGGGTTGGATTTTCGAAACATATTTAGGAAGAGTTGAGAAGTTAGTGAAGAGGGGTGGGTTTCACATAGGATAAAATGGTTGCAAACCTTGAAATTGAAATCGGTTAGGTAGATAAATAAATGTGTCTAATTGTATTGGTAAAATGGTGTCGAAGGATGGGAATAAAAAATGTTCATAGTAATTGTGCTTGAGCTATTAACATGTGACAAATTTCGATCAGATTTTAGAATGGTGTTATTATAGAGAAGTGTTTGAATTAATTTGAGTGAAAAATGATTGAATGACATTAGAATGTTAGAAGGTTGATTGAATTTGAAAGTTCAAAATTTTAGTATTTATAGGACATTAAAAAAAAAACCGTTGAGTGGCAGTAAGAGGGGAGAGAAGAGAGAGTGAGAATCAATGTACTGAAATTTCACCATGCTAACAGTAAGTACGGAAAGAAAATACCAACCAGGGTAGTCAGTAGTGTTTCCACATTCACGGTATAGCCATATTATCCCAGCGCACAATACAGTTGGTGTATGCCCGTTGGCCTTATAATTTAATAAAATCGGCAAAATTTTATAGAATATGGATGTATTAGGTATTAATCCGTAGTATAAATATATACATATATTATGTTTATAGTTAAAAATAAAAATAACTGGCTTTATTTTAAATAAATAAGGACTATTATAGGTCTTGAAAAGGCATAGCCCTTTAGAAGTTTGGCAGCTCCATAAAGCAAATTCAAAGTGGTGGTGACATCTGAAAAGACTGTTTTGACCCCACAATCTTTATTTAAATAAAATATACCTATCAGTGTGCACAAAGTACAAGTGGAGAATGCAAAAGAATAGAAATATGGGTTAGGTGTGTGAAGGGACCACCAATGTTTGTACTTTTATTTTTTCTTTTATCAATGTTTGTACTTGTACAATTCTTTCCACACATCATCCAATGGTCTACCTTCACCATCAATATCACTTCTTATTTTATTTTCTCATTGTATCATCGTACACGGTATTTTAGTCTTACTAATTTTTTATTTAGTTTATGATTTAAATTAATATCAAAACTTTGTTTTGATATTAATTTGGTTTGATTAACGTTTATGATTTTATTTGACCGAAATATTATCTACCGTGTAACTTATATACATATACAATCTTTAACATCATACAAACAAAAAACGAATGTAATCGGGATATATTAAATTTTAGGATTCTGATTATGAGATTACAATCATAAGCTCTATCTCTAATTTTATCATACATTTTATAATTGTTATATCATCGACTATTTATTCGTACTTAGGAATTCGTCATTTATGTTCGAAAACTTATGTACAATCTAAAAAAATTGTTTGTTCATGTTGAAAAAAATCTTGTTCATTTAACTCGAAAAAAGGTATTAGATATCAAAATGAAGCCTAATAGAGCATCACAATTTTTTTCCTCGAATTAGATAGGGCATTACGACAAGCAAGATAAGTTCATTTGTGATCTTGTGCTTTTAAGTGTACATTGTAACAATAATATTATTTCTTTTCTTTTTCGTTTAAGATGTTTTATTTTTATTTGTTGTCGTTTGTATCTATAAAAACTATGGTTAAGAAATTAAGTTGATATCACCAACATCTTAATGCATATCAAGTTATACAAACACAATCTTACAAACAAATTTGAAGATTTTAATTGTGGTAGGATTGTATTCCAATCCCAATCTAATTTTGTGGGAGCTTATATATAACAATTTATGTTTTATATTAAATAATAATTTAATAATATATTGGTACTTAGAATAATGGAAAATAGATGCCAATAAAGCTACAACAACTTGTACTTTATGCAATTAAGACTAGTACTTTGCTCGATATTTGGTAATTTTCCCTTCTAAGAAAAAGATCCACCTTTCTTTCTTTCCTACGAAGTACTCCAACAGAAAGATACGACACTCAAGAACCAAGTCAAACAAAATATGCCTTAAAACAACTTGTACTTCATGCATCAAAACTTATATATTTCTCAAGATTTGGCCATTTCTTTTATTAGGACAAAAAAGCAACCAACCCAATCCAGTTTTTCCAACCGATCTCAAGTTGAAGTGATTTTTTTACCAAAAGATATCTGAAAACATAGTATTCCAATAAAGAAGATATGAATGTATCATTAAGAGGACATCATATACCTTCTGCAGGTATGAATCTAAAAAAACCTAACATCTGAATACAACATGAAGAACAGGATTCAGATTTTAGAGGTCTCTGCTACCAAATTAAAGAATACTATCATCAATTCATTATCATCTACCCTTCTGCTTCAAGAAAATTCACAAACTTTCAATATCTAACCACTTTTTAGGATCAAACAAACAAATCAAGATGGCTTTTTTTTCTTTTCTCCCATACCCACCTCAAAGATCCAAATCTTTATGGCAAGAAAAAACAAGATCAAACTCATGTTTTAAGCCAAAAGACAGCCGGGTTGTGAACGGATCAATTAGGTGACCCACGAATCTTGAAACGGGTATAATTGAAAATGTATATAAAATTCAAAGGATGTTGACAAACTGTGGTGCATCGGGTCGTGGGCCATCAAGAGAGCGATACATATAAAGTGTATCGACGAAATCGCCCCTCACCCTGTCTTCTTCCTCATCTGTTTCCTCATCCCTACGAAAAACTTCCACCACTAATTTGGGCAAGATTCTAGCAATCTCCATGCACCCTTGGCGGGTGACCCTACATGATGACAGCCAAACAAACCTCATATTGTAAAAATGGTGCAAACCCGATTGTAAACCCGAGTCACCAAACGGGCTATCTCTGATCTCCAGTTTTTGCAAATTTGTGCATCCTTCAAGAACATATTTCAACCCAGTATCACTGTCCCCATTAAAAGCCACAGACAATGTTCTCACCAGTTTACCATACTGCCCGATGTAGCTAAATGCCCGGTCGGTCAGCAGCCCGGAAACAGCTAGACGGGTCAGCTTCTTACAGTTCTTGACAATGGCTCCAAAACCCTCGTCCATGGGCTCACCCGTGACCCGATCCGGTCTGTATCTCCCTATTATACACAGACGAAACACAACAAGTTCCGGGCAGTTTTTGGACATGGCTACAACCGCTGCATTTGTCATCTGTTGACAGAAGTAGAGGATGGATTCTAGTTTTGAACATCCGATGGAAATAGCAAGGAGACCTACTTCTGAGACTGGACCTTCTACGTTTTCTGAAGCGTCCACGGGGAAAACACGAAGCTCACGAAGATCTTTACATGTGTCTGCCACCGCCTGAAGTCCTTCATCACAGATGGAATCAAGCGCCTGGAAGAAATACATGGAAAAAAAGTTTGAGATTTTTCAGAATTTTGGATCGAGAAAGTTTGGAAAACTTACCCAGAAAACCTGTAGTTTATGACAGTGGCGGATGGCTGGGCGGAGCTCGTGGGGTTCGATGCTAGCATAGCTGAGATTCAAAGAGGTGAGATTAGCATAGAGCGGTAAGAGCGCCGGGAGATGTTCGGGTGCGATTTCACGGAAGCCGGAGAGACAAACTATCGATCTGCAAGCAGCAAAAGCGGAAGTGTAATCGGGCTCTTGTTGTTGACCGATGACACCCAGCGTACTGAAGGAGCCAGTGCCTAAATGGGTTAACTGCGGTGACCGGAGGATTAACCGGTAAAGCTGCCCTATCGAAACGTAACGGTTCAATCTAAGCTTCTTTAACAATGGTGATCTTGCTACTAGTCTCTCTAAGGCCTCGAAATTAAATGGGGTTTCGACGCAGTCGAAGCTCAATGACTCCAAATGGGTCGTACCCTCTGGTGGAAAGAAAGAAATCCAATCCACTTCATCGTCGGAAACGTCGTCTTCAACCAGCTCAAGAACACGAAGATTTCTGAGTTCAAAATGAAGGTATAAGATAATATCATTTAATTAATTAATCTTCATTACATTTCAAGCGAAATCAACTAAATTGTTCATGAAATTAACTCCGAAATCGGTATCAATTTCAGATCGAGGTATGAGTTAGTGATGTAAACAGATCTAAGTAGTGAGAAGAATGAAATTTGAAACCCTAGATTTACCTGCACTCGCTGGCGATAATTGCGAGTCCGCTCGTTCCGAAACCTTCACAGCAAACTAAAACAAGCTCCTTGAAATTCGGAAAGGAGTGAGCAATCATGGCGAGATCATCATCGGTGATGGACATGCGTTTCAGGTAGATCTTCTCCAGCGAACGATAAGCAGTAGCCATGGCAGACACCCAAGGGGTAAAGTGCGCACCCCAATCAGCCGGCAATAAGCTAAAATCAGCAAACCGGGGTTTTCCCTTCAAAGAAACCGACCGGATTCTCTTGAATCGGTTGGTCACCCGCCGTGGAGCCACAGAGTAACAGTTTCCGATGAACAGATCCGATCTGGTGTACGCTTCCGCGCGGTACCATGATTTGCAGACGAGCGAAACGGCGTTACGGTCACGCCGTGATTTCAAGAAAATCAAAACGTTTTCAAGTACGTTTTCAAGAACCTGATCTGGGTACGGCGTGAAAAACTCCCCGGGTTCAGGTCCGGCGCCGGTAACGGAATTTCTCAACTTACCACCACCGTCATCTTCAGACATTTCCGACGACACCCACTTCGATCTAGCTTGATGTGATTAATAAAAGATTGAATCTTATTCTTCAGATCAGAGAGAGAATCAAAGATTATACTAAATTTAGGAGGAAAGACGCTTGAAACTAATAATTTAGGTGGTTTTTTCTTCTCGCTCTCTTTCTACAAAAGTGTGCATAGGGATTCTCCATGCCCTCTTGTTCTATATCACTGGCTCTTTATTCATCTGTGAAATCTAATTGGCTAGACACACACACAGGCCTCTATTATTTGGGGGTTTTGTCTTTTATATTGTACTGCTGCTACCCACTAGTACATTGGTACATAACATAATGGTTACCCTAATTTCTTATAACCAAACGGATGGGATTTTAATTTTATATTCGGTGTCCAGTATCACGCTCTTTAATATAAGATTCAGGTTTCATGCTTATGTTTAGCTTTTTACTAGGTCATATCAATCAATGATTTTTAATTTAGTAAAAGCCTTTGTGCGACTCGAATGTGTATGGAACCCCATGGCATAATATCATATTCAATATCATGCTCATAAAAGAAAACTTTGCGTTGGTCAAACTGGTTTGTTACAACTTATCCCATTCAACAAACTCATGATAAATCCTTCATCAATTTTCTGGAAGAAAAAAAAAATGTTTCTTGAAATTTGATTAACGGGTTTAAGTACATATAATAACAGTACGTTTTAAATTTAACTTTTATTTTTGTTAGTTTACTTTATACCGTATTCTTTTTCAATTTCATCTAATTTTATGACCAAGCCACATGTATATGTATGTTAAGATGTCTAAATGATTCAGAGACGATTTTGTTTGGTAAGATTGTTGAAGCCATGGACAGTGGCGGACCTTAGTGGAGCATTGAGGTCCCGGGCCACTGCTCAATTTCCGGCACGTAGCGTAATTTTTTATTTTTTTTTTTTGTTTTTTCTTTCAGGTGCACCGACTTGAAGTACGAGAGACACCCCTACTAAAACAGTTTGCGTCTGCCACTAGCCATGGATATGTTGAACGAACAAAAAATATCATTTTAACCTTCTAACAAAACATAAATCAATATTCATAATCCACCAACAAATAACAAAACTTCAATTATCATGATACAAAAATGAATACATATAACAGTTTCACATACAGATTCGCAATTTCACATTCCAAATAAGGATATAAATAAACAATTTCACATGCTAATTCATAATTTCATATACCAAATATGGATACAAATGAAAATTTTCACACATAAATATGGATATAAATGAACAATTCACAAATCCACACACCAATTCATAGCTAATCGGTTCAATAATACGGAAAACACATACCCTCTTAAACTTGCAGCTTGAGATCCTTTTTATTTCAAATCTTTCTTTCAAAATTATCAAACACTCTAATACTCTATTGGGGAAGACAATGCCACAAGCACGCTTTGTCTATATCATTAGACGAATCAATATGAAAAACACTATTTCCTAAATTGTCTACACTCATCACAGTTTCATACACGTCATCTCAAGATAAAGCTTCAAAATAAAACACATCATTTTTATAAGCAGAATAGAACCATTTTTATCATTAAAATAATATCTAAAACCTTGTTTAAATAAAGCATGAAATGAAATGATGTTTTGTGTCGTCTCTGACGAGTAGCAACAATTTATTGAATCTAAACCTAACCCACTACTAAGAACTAAGCTATAAACTTCAATCTTGGTGACAGGTGAAGATCGTCTATTCCCCATGATCAAGTTCATCCTTCCATGCTCCACATCTTCACTTATTCTTAGCCCTGCAAATCAGAACAAATGTGAAACTCACATTCTGTATCAATGACCCCACGAATGATAATATGATGAGTTATTAGATAAGATAGTGTAAATACTTGTCGATGTTGGCTTCACCTTGTCATCCTTGATATCTTGCAAGTATTTTGAGCAACTTCGTTTCCAATTCCCCTTGTCATTGCAATAGAAGCAAGTGGCCTCTTTGGGGTCAGAGACAGGGGGAGCATCAGAACTGGATTTTCCTTTGGGTCATGTACTTGACAACTCTTGGGACTTTCCCTTCCAATTTTGCTTGGGAGGACCTTTCTTCTTCTTCCCTTTCCCTTGCCCTATGGCCATAACAGGTGCACTTGTAGGAGATGGGGCATATACCCTTTATCTTCATTCATGCCTCAGTTGTTCGAAGGAGGTTGTGTAATTGTGACAAAGTACTTTCATTGTTATTGTTCAAATGATAGATCAAAATGAATTGATCATAACAACTCGACAGAGATTTCAACACTATGTCGATCGCCAGCTCTTCGTCAAAATTCACATTGAGCTTGATTAGCCTATCCACGTATCGTTGCATTCTCGAAACGTGGTTGCTCACAGACTCTCCATCCTTCATCTTGCTAGCAATGAGGGACTTTACCACCTCATACTTTTCTTGACGAGCTCTCTTATGGTATTTCTCCATAAGTCCATGTTCATCTCGTAAGGCCAGTAATCCTCATAGTGTCTTTGCAATTCTGTAGCCATTGTCGGCACCATGATGTAAGTTGTGTGCATCATTATAGTGTTTTCTGTAGGCGACCATTTCTTCAGGAGTGACCTTCGTTTCGTCGATCTCATCTAAAGGTTTTTCAAGGACGTATTCCTTGTCCTCGAAGCGAAGAGCCATTTTGATTTTGTGTATCCAATCATTGTAGTTGGTGTCATCTAATTGCACATTTGAGCAGATGTTCAACAGATAGAAGTTGTTGTTGGAGGAGGAGTAGGGGGAACTAGAAGCATCAGTTAGAGTAGACATCTGAAAGAGTAGAAAATATAGCTTTAGTTATTTAATACTTGATTTTTAATTGTTTCATTATTCGGGGCCGTGGCCCGATCACTAGTTATCTTGAGACTTAGGGACTTGGGAGAGAAGGGAATTGGCCCTTTTTGGATATGGGTGTTATAGACTAAGTGATCCAAGTGTTCGAATGTGTTTTGGAGCCCAAGGGTATAATCGTAATTTGGAAGCTTGGTCCTTTATGAATTTTGGGTTTTTTTCGGGAAGTTTTAAGGTAAAGGAGAGTTGATAGAAGTGTAGGGCTTCTCGTCGCCTTTTCGTGGATATAAAGAACGTCGAAATCGGATTTAGAATGAAGGAGTTATGGCTAAATGAAGTTAAGTGTTGTGGAGGATCATCTAGTACACGGGGCGTACTAGTCGTGAACGTGGAGTGTACTGAGTGGCTTGGTCGCAGGTTCTCCTTGAGTACGCCAAGCATACTAACGAGTACACTGGGCATACTCCCTTCAGTATCAAACCCTAATTTTGGGGTTTTACCACTATATAAGCAATATTATATCCTTCCTCTAGACATTTTAGGTCAGCCTCCATCCCCTTTAGCCTGTATTGAAACCCTAGAGTGCCTTGAGTGAGTTTTGGAGCTTGGAAGAGTGTTTGTGGTGGTTTGTGTAAGAGAATAAGAAGCTTGAAGACTCATTCTTTGGAGGAGGGCTTTGAGATCCAGCTTTATCATCTTCTTTTGGTGGCTTGTGAGGTATAAAGTTCAAACCTTGCTATTTCATTTCATAGATCCACTCCGTGGCATGTTTTGGTCATTTTGGTCCTTTTGGTTGGTGATTGGGAGTTAAGGCCGTTTTTGGAACTTAGCCTTATAGATCTGAACGTATTAAGGATTCCTTAGGCATATGTAACATCCCAGTCCTCAGGTATGAAATTTAATTCTTTAAACATGTTTTTCCTTGGGAACTCGGCGAGTTAGAAGCCTCAACTCGGCGTGTTGAGGTGACTTTTGCCCGCGGATATGAATGAACCAACTCGGCGAGTCGAGGTGCCTCAACTCAACGAGTTGGCAGCTGAGAAAGAAACCCTAATTTTTAGGGTGTTGCACCCTATTTAAAGGCCTTAAGTCCCTTGGCTGGCCTCCTTACCAGCCTCCTCTGTCCAGAAACCCTAATTTCGTGTATCATCTTCCAAGTTGAGTGTGTGAGCTTGTGGAGAGCTTGGAGAGTTGATTTTTGGTACTCTTTTGAAGGAGCCTTGAAGTTTGAGGTGTCTAGTTTGAAAGGAAGACTATAGATCCAGAACCTCCCCACTCGTTGTAGTCTTTTTGAGGTATAAAGTCGACACCTTGCTTCCTTATCTCTTAAATCTCTTCCTTGAAAGTTTTATTGTGAATATTGGCTCGTTGTCGGATTGTTCAAGGGGTTGAGCATTTTATGGGTTGTCATTTTAGATTTGGCCATTTTGTGGCCTCATTTGGCTTAAAGTTGCAAGCTTTATTAGGTTATAGGCCTCATTCATGCATTAAGTTCTTTATTAAGCATTTCATGAGTTCTAGAGCTTCTTTTGGCATGCATGAACGTAAAGTTGGCAACTTTACGTGGTTTTACAGCTCCAGGGTATCAGATCTACATTTTTAAGCCTTAGATTCGATAAAAGGACAGATGTGTCAAGCTGGGGAAAACTCGGTGAGTTGGCTAGGGTTTTCCCGACCTTCTGAGTACTGTAGAAACTCGACGAGTTTGTTGGTGCACTCGATGAGTTGGATCAACATGGACTGTTGACCTTGACCTTTGACCATGGTTGACCAAGTTGACTTTTGAGGGCATTTTGGGTATTTCGGGGTTTTGGTGGAATTGGTCACATGGTGGTTGTAGGCATTTGAGTCGGGAGCTAAGATTCGGAGTTAGATCTTATCAGTTCAGCGCCACTTGTGAGGTGAGTGTTCCTCCTTGTACTTGTTGGGTCGAAGGCACCAAGGCCGATCCTTTTGGATTGTTATCCTGATTATTGCACGAGTGAGTATTGTTGTGATTTGTTAGATTTGTATCGTGGTAGATAGGATGATGTTATGCTTAGTGATCTGTAAGATATGCATGTTTATCTTGACTGGTTATATGTTTATTTGTTATGTATATGTCAACATGTTATATGTGGTTGGGTTAAGGCGGTCTTGCTTTGTGCTGATGGCCAATAGACCCGGGGCATCCCGGATAGACTAAATGCCAGTGGGGCGTACTAGTCAGGCCGAAGGCCTGGAAAACGTTCCAGATAGACTGAAGGCCCAAGGTGGCGTACCAGTCATGCTGAAGGTTTTGTGAGCGTACCAGATAGACTGTAGGTCGGTGGGGCGTTCCAGTCAAACTGAAGGCTCTATATGCATGTTGTTTATTGTATTATTATGGTTTTTTGATATGTTGGTATTTTTGGGGAAACTCACTAAGCTTTGGGCTTACAGTTTTGGATTATGTTTCAGGTACCTCCGATGATCGCGAGGAGGCGAAGGCTTGATCGTGCACCTCCTCGTTTTTTGTGTTATGATTACTGGGAAAACTCTGATATTAAACATCTTTT